TAAACATTGTGTTTAACAAGTTTCCGTGTCAAGAGTGGTTGCTGTAAAAATAATGGTTGCTACAGCAAGTGCAACTTTTTGATGGTTTTCTGTGAGAAAGCCAATTTTCTCGTGATAACTCAACTTAGATATTAGGAAGTAACATTTTCTAAAGAAGTTCATTCTTATTAAAAGGGTGCTAGCTATTATAAGCTTACTTAGTTCTTATTTACTTCATATATACTTACCAATTTTTTTTACGCAGTTATAAAGATTCTTACGAATCGGCTTAGAATCTTAACTATTGTTTCGTTTCGAGGTCATATACAAAACCAACCTCTATACATCTGATAATTGTGGATCATAATCAACTTAAAGGCATCCGCTTAATCTAGTTTCAGCTGCTGGTTTCATTTTCAGTGTTTGGTTTCTAATTTTCGCCCGAAGTTTCTGCGTTTCGTGGAGCATTAATTGATTTAATGATTTTGTTGGCCAAAAACAAATGCCCTGGCTAGCCTGAAGTTAGCGATAATAATTTTAGTTGCGTTAACGAAGCGTTAAAAATCACCAAGCCAGCAGCATAAGTGGCAACAAACTGTTGGCGGCTTACCATCAAATATTGTCCGAGTATTAAAGTATCTTTTGGATAGCAAGTGCTTCACGCGTGGCAAACTTTTTTCAAGTGCAGCATGCAATTTTGCAATATTAAGAAGAAGAGCACGGGAAAAAAGTGAAACTCGGAGTATCTTGCAGATAGTCGAGCATAACTGTAACCATAATTACCGACAGCAATGAAAAGCGAAACAAAATTAATGAAGTGTGTGATAAGCGCCGAGGGAAAAACTAAAAGAAAAGGAAAACCCCCCATTCCGGCCAAGACAATGCCTTTGATACTCTGCAACTTGGTTCCCCCGGCGATGTTCATATGCACATAAGTATCTCGAAGCCAGTGCCATGTATCTTGTGGCCGACACGGAAGTGCGGGAAAAAATGTTTCGTTACTTGGCCAAAACAATGCACAATGTACTCACGCGCAATTGTTAGTTTTTGTTTTTTTTTTTCTCCTCACAATACGTTTTTGTATCTTGAACTTGAGGCATCATCGAACAAGATGTACTATCTGTGGGTGTATCCGCACTGCTTGTATGTGGGATTTCTGAGCAGGGGTGTTTTTGGGTGTGCTGGGTTGACATGAAAAACTGTTTTTGGAAGTGCTGATTTGGAGAACTACTCCTGCGGCTGTGAGTAATAGTTGTCATGGTAATGATGAAAAACTATAATTGGAAATCAATTGACAACTGACAGTTGTCATATTTAAAACCATTATACAAAAGACTTCTTAAGAAGAATGAAAGCCACGAGAAACGACAATGGCACTTATAAGCCTACTACATTTGTAAGATAAGCCTAAGTTATATGAGATAAAACGAAACCACCTTAACTATGATATACCCTTAATCTATGTCTATACATTTATTCAATAAAAAATTCCTTGATATGAGAAGACGCTTAAAGCAACATAAGCATGAACAAAATCCAAAAAAAAACAATAATCAAGAAAAGGCAGAAACTATTTTGGCCAAATTATGTCAGACTTGCCTCCAAAGATGTCTAGCTCTCGTGATGTTAGACTTTATTTTGCTGATTTTTTCTGAGCTTCACACACATATGTGGATTTTCGTTAAGATGATTTGTGCCAGTGCCACTTGAACTGTGCGTCAGCAGTGATTGAGGCAGATGGAGCCCGAGATGAAGACGATCTCGGAGATGGACATGGAGATGGAGGCGATGGAGGTGATGGTGGTGATGCCTGGCCCTCGGCATGTCAGATGTCGATGGTGATGATGCTGCTGCTGATGTTCATGTAGTTCGTCTTTTATCTTGTGGTTTTTTGTTGCCCCGATGTCTGCCTGCAGTACTAGGCATTATTGCATCATCAAACGGATTGAGCAATGAGTAGATTTAAATACAAATTTAATGGTTTCAGTTATGGCCCATTGTATTGGGCCGGGGTCGTTAAACCGAACCAAAAAGTGGCCTATCGATACGATTTATGCCTGAGAACAAATGACGCCAACTGATAATAAATCAATATTATTGTGAAGTTAAAATTGTTTAACTGTGTCAAATGTAAACTCATTTTAAGGCATTTAAACTAGTTTTTTAACTTGTTTAACTGAAATGTCAAAATTTAAGTGGAAACCAGATCGACTAATTAATTAATCTCAAAAACACAAAATATGTAAAATATACGAAAGATTGCGAGACTAGCATATTTAATATATATTGAAATACGCAAAGATTTTAGTAATGCTATAAAAGTTATTGCTATGTGTAAGTTTTTAAAAGGAAATTAAGCTTAATTTTATCCTTACAACTATGTACATTTGATAAGTAGGACAAATAAAACACATTTCTGAAGTTCATTATATTTCGGCTTAAATGATTAATTCACGTTTAAGCAATTCACTCAAAGACGGATGCAAAAGTGGTTGGAGAAGGGATTTTTACAAGCTGACAATTGTCCCAAGTTCGGCAAAGGAACCGCAAAAAGCGTTTTGCTGACACACCAAATGGGAAGCACACAATTACCGGCCATATTTCTTCCCTGTTTCTCTGCCATTCGGCCGCTTTCCTTTTGTGGGCCGAACACGTGCAAAATGTCCAACACGGTGGCCAAATGGGGCCAGAGAAGTAAAAACGCCATAAATGCCCAGGTCCACTTACAATTATTGCCCCAATGCAGAGAAATGTTGCTGAGTTGCAAAAAAGCCAGCTATGAAAAATCGAAAGTGCCAAGCCGAGTGACAAGCGCAGAGCAAAGAAGTAAAAAGAGTCATGTGCTATAGGCTATAGCCATTCGATTCGATTCGGTTTAGATTCGGATTTGGTGTTGGTGTTGGTAGTGGTAGTAGTGGTATTGGTATTGGTACTGGGATTGGGATTGGAATTGGGCTTGGGTGCAGCGCAATCTGCGACTCGGCATCTCTAATGCTCGCTGCAGCTGTTGCCAATTCACATTGGTTGTGGTAACCGTAATAACCAAAAGGGAATGAAGATATTATAAAATGTTGAAAGGTGCATAGTAGGGCTATAAGTGTAGGGAATTTAAAAAATATTGCCAAGTTCGCAAAGTCCTACATATGATAATGGTTGTTCAGAAAATGTTCACTCAATCAAGTTGATTATAAGATTATATTATAGCTGTTTTAATGGCAATCTATAAATTTACAAATTCATAAATGTAACAATTTGTGGTATATTCTTACCAATAAGAAATGGCTTCGCAGTTTTTCTATGCCACAACCAAGAGCATGTTGCACAATGTCGCCGGTGCGAGTATCTGAAAGATACCGGGCGAAGGAGCCGAGCACACACGTAGTGGAATTGGAGCAGAGATCAACGAGTCTGCCGCCAGTCAAAGGCAACCATCTGGTTGTGGCACCGCCCCCTCACCACCCCCGGAAAATCCACCACCCCCCGCTGGGAGGCCAGGTGCAGCCGGTTTCCTGTGCGTTTCCACACGTTGCAACGTGTGCTGCCAGTCCCAATACGACGTACGCCATTAAGAGCGGCAAATTGCTCTGGAGCCTCTGAATGGGGGCCAAAAAGTGCATATGTACGTATATGTTGGGGTTCTACGGCAAGGAATGTAGGCCTGATGAACTGCAGGGTGGCTAAATGAACTGAATGGATGCCTAGAAGGCAACAGATTGCGAAACTCTCGTGACCAGAAATCCAAATAACATTCGAATGCTGAGTGGGATAAACTTGCAAGACATTTCATTTCTGATATATTTCTAGCCAACTTTTACAACGGAACGCCTAAAAATAAGTTGGTATTTACTTATTTTCTAATTATTCGTAGAACATTTGAAGTATTTTTGAAAAGCTTGGCAAGTTATTTAAACATTATAACAATAAAACTTATAGTCGCTTACTAACAGCTGTGGTCGCTGAGATTGCGTAAGTCCTTTAAAACCCGCCAAACAATTATTTGTTAATTGACTTTTTTTGGGGACACATCTGACCACAAAATGTGGCCCACTTTAGGTGGCTTAATTGAAAGGCTTTTGGTCTGGTCTATGGGCCATCAATTGATTGTTTGCACTCGACACTCACCGCAAAAGGAAATAATAACTGACCTGACTGAATAAACACCATAAATATCGGCACGACTTTGGGGATACCACAACAAAAAAAACCACACCGCCACCGCATTGAAAGTGAAAGCTTTTTTATGGTTTTTTTCTAACAATTTATTTTATAAATACCTTTTGGTAGCGAACGAAAAAATGCATAAATTATTTGGGACTTTGCCGCTGGTGATGGGAAAATGATGCTCATGAGAAATGATGCTCATCACCTGTTTTCTTTTCATGAATTCAAAGGCGGCTAACATTGCCCCACCCAAATGTCGGTTCAAGTTGAAGTTGAAGTTGAGGTTGAAGTGATGCAATTTCTCTCAGCAACGATTTCAATTTCTTTCCGCAGTAAAAAAAGACTTGAACTTGGCAGCTGCTTTTTGTAAACCACTTACTCTAGCAATGGTTATGGTCACTATGCGGAGAAGTTAAACGATTTTGAAAAATGACTGTAATATATAAATGTTATGAATCAGCTAATTTTTCAATGGTGACTAGATCAATTAAGAATTTATACATGTTCACTGCCCTTTTAGATATACTTTCTAAGAGCAATTCCCATTCGTTGTGTAATGGAACCCAGTTTCTCTGAACTATCTTTGGCATTTCCCTGGCGCAGCCGCATTTCAACGACTCACAAATTTGCATATCAATGTGACTTTGAGTAGCTCCGCGACTGTGACATAATCACTGCCTGTCATTTTAATTTACTGCTAATTAATTTCAGGCCGCCCGAAATTACATTTAACCAAAGACATACAGGCTGAATAGCATCTCTGATTAATTTTGATGGAAATTGGCAAGCGAACCAGTGGCAATCGCAACCAGAGGATCAAACTAGTTCGAACATGCTGCCAGGCAAGAGCAAAAGTCTTGTAACTTGGCTCAAACCGTTGGCCAAAACAGTTGAGCGCCGGTCGAAGAAGCGAACACAACGCGGTTGCGCATGCGCGTGTATCATGTGCGGATCGGACGTGCCAGAAATTCACAATTCAAATATTGGCTAAAAGAGGGTTCTATGACCATAAAAGTGTTCCACCCCGCCAGTGACAAGTGACCAAAACCGACGACCAAAAGAAATTCAAATTCAAATTTATATCCCCTACCAAAAACCAAAACAAGGTGAATGAAACTGCCGAGCAAACTGTGTCAAAAGCAAAGAAAGTTGCGATTTTATGAGTGGGATTTTGAGGTGTATCTTCAGCTTTGGTCTGCTGTTTGTTTTCAATCTTTTGCGGGCTTGTCGCGATTGAGTGATCATCTGCGTGGGTCTGTGCCACATGAATCCGAATGCATCGCAAGTGTAATAATGATCACCATCTAGGGCACTACGCCCAGGTATGCGAGGGAACTGTTCTTCCCAGGTGATTCATTAGCGAAACTTCTGCTCTTCTTGGATACTTTTCAAAGGTGCGGCAGAAGCGCCTTTTGAATTCATTTCACCCTGCTCTTTATTGGCTTGATGTAAATCCGCCTTTGGTTATGATATCACTCGAATAAATATTTATATTCGAATACTTTGCAAGGTCGATTGGCATTTGCCAAACATGTTTCCAGTTATTTTGCATTATAATTCGATGTCGAAATATTTACCTTATTTTTTGCATAATTTGTGGTGAATAAGACTTGGTCAGGTGGTTAATTATTACCTTAATTGAAATCTTCGGAGAAAACCAATTCAGTCAAATATTTTAATGGAGGCGTGCCAAACTTGAGCAGCAATTTTAATCAAATTGTTAAAATGAATGAGTGCTTTACTTTAGCAAAAAATAGTTTTCAAGTTATAACTCTAGAAGGGATATTGTGTTTGCGAACTTTATTCTTTGAAAATTTCTAGTTAAGGAATCAATTTAAGTTAAGCAAATTGTTTTAATTGTTTTTAATAAGAATAGTTTTTGCTATTTTCAAAAGTAAAGAATCTTTTTGTATATACTAAATTGTTATTTAAATTTGCGATTGCTGTCATCCGTCTTAATACGTTTTCCGGATATCCAAATATTGATAGTTGACTTTAAGCTTAACTCAGGCGGAAAACCACTATCAATCACCAATTGCTAACAAGCCCGACTGATTACACAAAGTAACTCGACGCGAACTTGACACATTTGCTATGCAAATGGCCAGAAGCCAAAGTCAAAGCCGCAATTTGCGCCGAAATGAATCTGAATCTGAACCTGAGGTTGACCGGGGCATTCAGCCAACCGCAGTGGAGCCATGAAAGTGCCGGCCGAAGATGCCAATTAATGAACAGGGCCTTTGGGCCGTAAGTGGTTCCATATCCACGAATGTGTTTGCATATGCATCTGTAATTGCGGCTAAACACTGCGCATGCAATTAACTTTTCACGGCAAGGGCCACGTGGCGCTTACTTAATGCGAGTTTCACCAGCCAAGAACCTTTATTATTCTTATCAATTTGTTCATCAGTTATCAGGAATAACAACTGCATATCGAATGCAAAGTGCAATATTCGTAAGCCTTTCTTATTTGTTCTGTATTTCAGCGAAATTTGGTATTGACTGCATGTTTGAGTTCCTTTAAATAATAAATAGCTCAAAAACAAGCCCTTCACTATTTTCCCTCGCGTGCAAATCACTGCAACTGCATTCAGATGGGCTTGTGTGTATATTTTGTGTTTTGATATATGCCATAAAAAGTTTATAGACCCTGAAAGACCCACAGATACACGATTTTATTTGCGTGTCACAGTCAAGTCACGTTGTTTTGTGTTTTTTAGGTACAGTTTGTGTACTTCATAAATTATATTCCCATCTGAAACCTTTTTCTTGTTCGGGCCGAACAAATGTTAATCGATATCCGAACAGATTAAAACAAACCAGCTTAAAACAAAACCAACACAACATTTTTATGCAAATGCACAAATTACAAATGCTTCGCAAAGATTGCGCAAACCCTTTTTTCAAATGGGCGTTTTAAAGAAATAGCTGAGGGGAAACACCTAAAAAATAACCAAAGCCTATCAAATGTATAAGCCCAAAAAAGTTGGTTAAACAAATTCATAAATATTTGTAGCATTTTCTTTGAACCTTTTGTTTTAACTGATGTATTAATAATATTTTCTGTGTCTATTTAGGCTTTTCATTCAGCTTGCAGTAGAGATTTAATCTAATGAAAGAAATGTGGACCGTTTTTCGCTTATTACATTGATATTGTCTTTTATGTTAAATAAACTTCGAAATGTATATTTAGTAAAAAACTAGATTTTTTCCATATATCGATGTATAAATATACATCGGAAAAACTCGGTGTAGTTTAATTCCAATTCAATAGCACCGCTACTGACAAACCGATCAAAAATCTGGTTAACCTTCTCGGCAAAATGCAAATTTTTGTGTATTTTTTCATGACACTTATTTCACTTGATTTTGTATTGCATATTTTTGTACATTTATACAGTTGCTGGCGGGCTCCATTTCAGATTTTAATTAAATAGCTTGTTTTTATGATATTTGATAAGTAAAGCAATTTGTTTTCCATGCCCGAAACGGGTGGATGGGCTTTGTTAATTTTCCTTTGACGTAAACCAGTTGGTTGGCTAATGGAATATCGCGGCTTATTGGCAATTGGAATGCCAATTGATTGGCCACACTAAGTTATGCAGATCCATAAACCGGCTAATGGTTGCAATGTGGAGTCGTGAAGTGTAACACCTGCAAAAGATATAGCCGGTGTGCGATATAAGCCGGCATTAATGCCGCGGAAAATTCGCGGCCACCGCCGAAGAACGGGTTCCATTGGTTGACGGAAGAGTTTCAGTTTCAGCCACAAAGTGCGTTGCGTAACCAACCAGTTGATGCACTTGCTCATGGCTTTCCCACACACTCCGCACTTTCCCAGCTAATATTTATGTATCTCTCCTCGCCGATTTCTTTCAGCATGCGTGAACGCAGCCAAACGACCCCCAGAAGGCGACGAGCCGGTCCAAAACACGCCTTGCCTGGCAGCTCCTCCGAGGGAGTGGGCGCCCTGGAGTCCCCCTATTACACCATTGACAACACGGAGGATATATACGGCACCACGCTGCTGCCCTCGCAGCGCTGCTACGTAGATCCCTGGGATCTGGAGAACTATGATTATGTCCGCAAGAAGATCGATGATGTCACCGGTGGCGGGGAAGCGATTGAACCCGCCTACGGTGTTGGGGGCAACTCACTGACGCCCAGTCCCACATACGGATACGGTGTGGTTGGGGGTGCGGGCGTGGGCGTGGGCATGTCGGCCACAATGCCACGCCCCCACACCCAAAGTCGCCGGGTGTCGCGTGCCCAGTGCCAACTGGAGTGCTGCATGCCACAAAGGACGCGTCGCCGGAGCCGCAGCGCCCGCAAGGAGCCACTCTACACGGCCAGGAGCGACATCTACGGAGTGCCCAGCCGCTACGAGGACTACATGGCCACCATGACCAGGCAGCTGCAGCTGGACAATGGCGAGGATGAGGAGCCGGAGGACCTTTATGGCGAGGAGCAGCGGCAACTGTACAATGGCTTTGGAGGTGCGTGTAAAACCCAATTTCAAATTCAAGCTGCCTTTGATACTAGCTTTTAATTAGAAATTTCTTGCATGTATTATTAACAGTTGTATTTCGTTATCATTAGACTTAAATTACACAAATACGTTTGGTTTTCATGTTCAATGCCATTGGATTTTTTTTAATTAACGCAGTGCGTCTTTTATGGCAATACAATTAAAATTTAATTACAGATCTCTGGCTAAATCATTGCATTTTGAGTTTGACCATTTAAATTCATTTAGAAATAAATGCATTCGATTTCATGCGAGTGTGTTGATTACATTCTCATTATTTCTTAGAGGTCTATATTCATTACCAAAGCTTTGAGAATACATATAAATGTTTATATTCATTATTAAACCCTTGAAAACATATGCAAGTATAAATGTTTTACTGACTTTAAACCTATCAAGTGTTTAAGCTTAAATGTTGTAAAATATCAAACGGGTATGAACAGATACAGATAGATACAGTTAGATACAGTTTCGATAGCCATCTCTAAATAAGTGCCATCCCACACCTTTCAGGCTTCTCCAGCACCAGTTCCATGGAGCACCCCTCCTCCATTGGCGACGAGCAGCCCGTTCCCCAGCGACGAGCGGCCACCCTCCAGCGCCGCTCCGTTCCCAGTGAGATGCAGCGGAGCAGCAACATGGGGGCCGGAGGATACGGAACTGCCCCCCATCCGCGGCGCAAGCGGAGTGGCAAGTCGGCGTCCATGGCCGCTCCGCCGCAGATCGAATTCCCCGCCCCGCCGCCACTTTCGCCCGCCTACGACTACTGCAATCCCTATGCTACACTGCCGTACTGCAGCATACCGGATTGCAGCGAGTGCCAGCAGCAGATCTATGCCGCTCCACCCTCCACGCTCTACGGAGCCGCTGGTGGGGATGGCAGCCGGATTAGGGGCTCGTCGCCCCATCATTCCAGCGGAGGCGACTCGTCGCTCTACTCGGGAATTTACGCCCGTAAATTCGGACTGAGCAAGAAGGGTCTGCTGCAGATCGACTACTCCTGCAGTTGGAACGATCTGGACCGGGTGATGCAGCGCCATTTCTGAGTTCCACGGGCCGCAGCGACATGCTTGGGTTAGGGTTACTACACATCACGTTGGCACCAGTCGCGAACAGAAACATTATTGTACTTAAGTCATTTTGCATTACAAATCCACACACACACACACACACACACACTGAAGACCAAATAACTAAACATGTTTGTCGTAGATATGTAGTGTTTTCATATTCATACTTACTGAATAAACATTTTGAAGTCAAGCATTAAGGATTGTAGTTCCTATGGAAATTTCAAGGTACATAACTTGGAAGTTTCAAATAAGATAAGATAGATATAGACTTTATTATAATATTGCCAAGTTTAATCCACTAATTGGGGAAAGCTTTGCAAGCAAAAACTTGACTCGGCGACAAAGAAAAGTTTTACATTTTCCACTCTAATTAGTTGTGACGCCATGGAAAGAATGTTTCATGTTTGACAAAATGTTTGGGGAAAATGAGAACACGGAAATGGTTTTAGCACCGGACTTTGATGGATGTTTTTGGGGATTGTCAAGTCTAAGTTTGTGGAACAAATGCCAAATGTGCAGGTGTACGAATGAGAAATAAGTGGCGGCAAGCAACTTTTAAACTTTTAAAGCACACCTTTCGGTGTTGAATGAAGGAAAAATCCATTAAACTTTCCGCCAGCAAAGTGGGAAATGCAACTTCAGCTCGATTATCTCAGCCGGAGGTGCACAAATACATGGGGCGAACTGTTCAAAGGGGAAAATCAATAAGGTAAATAAAACGGAAAAGATTTTCCTCTATCTCCTTTGCTCTTGCCCCCTGTTTCTCACCGCCCCTCCCTTTTGCCGCTGAATGCGATTTCAATTTCTCAATCCAATTTACCTTTGCAACAGTGTATACACACCAGTACACAGACAAAAATTAGGTGCATGCTTTAAATATAAAATAGAATAACAATGCTGCAATATCACTATCCAAAATACTGTTGTATTTGAAACATACACAGCGGAAAATTTTCAAAAATAAATTGCGAGTAAAGTTATTGATAAAAAATATAATATATGTACATGGTTTTGCTTTATTACTGCTTATGCAAATCAGTAATTAAAGAAAATGCTCATTTAAAAGTCAAGCAAATTGAACAGTTTATTGCTTGTTTTCTGTGTATGAATTCCAATACCAACGCAAACACAAATACGAACCAAAGTACAAAAACACAAAGCACAAGTAAATCATAAAAAGCAGCAACAACAAGCATCTGCAAAGCGAAAATCTGAATGCACAAAAAGAAATGGGAGGAAAAATGTTCCAAGTCGAAGGGAAAAAAGACATCAAAAATGAGGAGCTAAGGTTTTTGCTATGCACATAAAAGCGCAAATATTTGCGCAACATTTTCGTCGTCGTCGTCGTCGGCGACTTGGCGATAAAAATCGAACCAGAAAAATATGCAAAAAGCTGAACAAGCCGGAGGGGAAATAAAAACGTCGCACGAATAAGCCCGGGAATATAAAAAATATATGTATATATGATGTGTATATTAGTGTGGGTCCCTCTGATTATTTTTTTTTGCCGGGAATTTTCTTTTGCCTTTATTATTGTATAACGTCAAACATTTGCATGCGGCGACGCCTAAATGTATGCCACACTTTGTTCACCAGCTGCCACACCCCCATCAAAGGCCCCTGAGCACCCTATTCCCCCCCTTGGCCACTTTTTGCCACTTTTTGCATTTGCATTTATGTGCGGCGCCAATTCGAGCTGCCACGCCTCCGGCCTGCCCCTGCCTACACCTGCCTGCCCCAAACAAATGCAAATCGCAGCGAAAATATTTCGCACTTTCACGAAACTCAGTTGAATACCTGGCCAACCAACCAACCAACCAACCACCCACCTGCCAAACCCAAAGGCCCACCTGTGATTCCTATCTCGCTGCGAACGAGTGCTCGAATTTGGCCTGGAAAAGTGCTCCCAATTTGCCAGGCCCCTCGACTGCAGCTAAACAAGATGAAAAGCCCTCTTCCGAAAGGTGTTTTGTCAGGCAATTTGGCAGCAGATCTCTAAGGGAATGCCTAATTTAGATAGGCGAAAAACTTAGATTTTTAAATTTGAAATAAATCTGAGAAACTTTATTTTGTTAGCTTTTAATGATATGGTTTATTATGTCTTTTAATGTTTTTAAGGGCATTTTGACTCTGAATGTTTTTAAAAATCATCCAAAGTTCATTTTGCTTAGCTTTTTGTTGCTCAACACTTAGAATTAGTTTATTTAATATTTGCTTAACCCCTTTTTAAACATTTATTGTATCGATTTCTACAATAGAAATGGAATATTTAAGAACAGGCAATATAGAATTTTCCACCTTTTTTGCCGCCGCTTTGTCGCTCTTTTTGCCATTTTTTCCTTGTTAACTGGCTAAGTTGAAGCTGCGAGCATCGGAATAGAGATGAAATGTAGAAAATTTGCGATTTTACGTTCTATTCTGCCTGGCCGACTTGAAAAAGGGCCAAATTGTCAGCGACAATTGTAAGTCGTTTGCACAAATTGCAAGTTAAATGGATCCTTGCCGCCGGGTCTGCCGCTCCATTTGATGGTGCAAGAATGGCAGGACGACAAGCTGGTTGCATATAATGCGACTGACAAATGGAAATGAGCTGAGCGTATCGGGCAGCTGGCAATCAGATGAGTATTATCCTTTTCAGGAAAGGCAGGAAGCAGCTGGCTGTACAATTCCCTCAAGCAGTCAGGTGCATGAAAAGAGGATTTGGCTGCAGATTAGGTATGAGATCGTGCCAGATTGATAGGAAATCTAATTTAAAGTTAGTTCACTTCAAATGGCTGAAAATAAAAAATTGTCAAAAGTCAGCAGGACCAACTTTAATTAAAACTATATTTAAGCTTATCAAATGCGAGGTGAAATGCCACGAACTCTAGCCCCCATTATTGTTGGCCCCACATCATATGTGTTGGCCAACTTTTGAACCAAGCTTCCATCATGAGGGACAAAATCTGCAGCTAAATGCCCTTATAAATTACAGGCAGCTGTCAGAACTTACGGTTGCTGTTTTGTGCTGTTTTGTGCTGTTTTGTGCTGTTTTCTGCTGTTTTGTAGTATGCAAAATACTCGAGTTAAAAATAAACCAGCAACCTGAAAACTTAATTAAAGTTTTTTCCTTCTTTGTTTCTGGTGATGTTGGGGGAAACAACAAGTAACCAAACGAAACCCAAGGTGCAGGAGGAAAAGGACATACCAAACAAACAACAAAACGCAGTCACTTATTCACTTCTCTGTGTGTGTGTGTGTTTGCCTGTCTCTGTGTGTGTGTGAGTGTGAGTGTGCCTGCAGCTGTGTGAGTGGGCGTACTGGTGTCTCGTTAAGCCAGCAACTCAAAATGGCGCCCGAAGTCCTGCTGCCTTGTGTTCGCTATGCAATTTGCCAGCCATTTTGCACCTTGCAATGAAAATGTTTTTTAATTAAAAACAAGAAAGAAAACTTTGCAAAGGCTGTTGGGAATAGTTGGTACTTAGGACCAAAGATATACTCAGTGTAGTCGTGCTCCATGGGAAAAGTACCCATTGTTCTTGGAGAACAACAAACTTATTTTTTAACTTACTGCACTAATTGGGTTCACATCAACTTGAATCAATAATAAAATATTGGAATTCATGTACAGACTTCAACAAAAAGAGCTTCTTGCTCATGTACGCTCATATACAATTTATCTATTATAATGATCTAGCACTAGTTATCGAGCGAACGGATATGGACGACATAACGCATACGCAGGGTATGCCAGCATAAAAGACAGCTTAAGTCGCACTAAGGTGTAGAAAGTGTCTGACATTTAGCGCCTTTTCAAAGGGCTACAAAACAGTTTATAGACATAAGCACACAAAAATTTGCATTTATCTGTGTTACTATGTGCCAGAATGTATACGTATATCTTTATATGTAGTGTTTAAGACGGGACCCCGGGCTGCCATTTGCTAATGAATAAGTTAATTTCATTCGGGCCCCAGCAGGGAAATGCGGAACAGGACGCTCGTCGTGTTATTTATGTGCCTGACTGTCGCCCATTTTAAAACCCTCAAAGTGGTCATTAGAGACTTTGGCTCAGTTGGCAGTTTCAGTTTCAGTTCCAGCAGGAGGGTCTACACTGCGTATACTTAATTTATATATAGGCAACGCCTCCATCCGCCCCGTTGCACGTTCCACGTACTACAAAAGTGGCCACTGAAAAGTGAGTTAAGTACATATATACATACGTATATATGTGTCTATATGTATATATGTGTATATACGTATAAATGTGTCTATATGTATAAATACGTATATATACGTATCAACTATATTTAGTTGCGTACGTGCAGAGTGTTGCTGTAAATGCAAATTAAGTCTTTGCAGCGAAATATATACTCGTACTAGTACCATGGAGTAGCAGCAAACACCCAGGGTGCGGAACATTGGTATAGGGATATCGTGGGTTGGCTAGTGTAGGTTGGCCCAGTGCCGCATTACGGCCAAAGTGTTGGAGTTACGTAAGCCCGTATCCATTAGTTTGAGCAGCTTAATTAAAATAAAGGACTCACTTGCTCCGATCCAGGGGAATTACGAAATCAGAGGGGCGGAGATGAGTTGGCTGTCAACAAGTGTCTAGGTGCGCCATTAATCTGCATTTCTAGGCAAATTCAATTTATAGCGCAAGGCTGCTTTGCAAATCAATGCTATACACAATCCCCATTGATTTTGGTCGAAATTTGAAATAATAAATAACGTATGTATAACGAATAAAACGTACAATGTCAGCTTTTAGGCAGCAACATTGAATTATATAAATATGTATGTAGTGTTTTGCCAAAAAAAAAAGGAATTTATCATTGAACATTAAAAGGTTTAAAGATATTTATTGGAATAGCAAAAGCATAAATAATTGATTGGCTAATTTCCATTTTCGCCTTGTCCAATCAAAAAGTTGAATAGAAGCCATCTCACAACCAAACAATCAACCGACAAGTTGTCCCAGAAACCCACAGGAGAAGTGGGGTCAGATGCATCAACAGCACTTTTGCATTTGCTGCCAAGGCTAATTGACATGAATAAATGTTACGCAATCAGCAGGATAATAAATTCAATGGAAAAGCGGGGCAACATTTTCATTTGCCAGCGACGACTTTGTATGCAGCGAGATAGCATTTGCTGGCAAACTTCCTCGCACCGGCTGTACCCCTTCTAGGATTCATCCCAAGATCTAGT